GCCTCATCATCAAAGAACATTTTTGACATATTTTTTTATTACCTACGTCACCTGTATATCACATTAGAAAGTCAATTTCTTCGAAATTACCCATTTTTCTCTATTTTCTAATACGTTTTACTACATTACGATGTAACAACAGTTCTTGAAAGAGAATGTATATCAGAGAAAGATTCCTACCATTACTTTCAGACACACTTTTGGATTAAAAGCTGGTCAATGTTACATAACACAATTAACAAGTATGTAATTATACAAATTTGCGTTGAATTTGTTTACATACATTAGGTGGATTTAACTTCCTTAAATTCTGTACCGGGTGCCCAAAAAAATGAACAATAGTGAATCAATATTTCCTATCGTTGTTTTATGTTGATTCTATTTCAAAAATTTCTCTACACCTGTTCAGTTCTACTAAGGAATCATATTAAAAAAAAAGAAAGAAAATAAAACAGTCGTTTCAGTTACATGCTTTCAAAACACATTATGCAAATATTTCATTTAGCAGCAACGCACAGTGGTCTTTTGAAACACTAAGTAACTATTTTTTACAACAAAATACACAACTTTTGTGCAACAGTAAACCTTAGTTTCTAATACTGCTCCGACCGTATAACTCGCCAAGGAAAAGTTTGTTAAGTTTCCCCTTTATGCAAAACGTCGTGAACAGCGTAAAAGTATTTACCACAAATCAAACTGTCAGACCTGCCTTAAGAATCAAGAATTAATTGTTAGAATTATTCAGAAATATTCAAAAGATGGCAAACTCCTCGGAAGGTAAGTGTTTATCAGTTAACCCATCACAATAATTTCAGGTTGTCGTTATTAGCGGCGAGAGCGGCTCCGGAAAGACTGAATCCACGAAACTAGTGATGCAGTACCTCGCGGCCGTAGCACCTTCGGCACCAAGAGGCCAAGCCCTGGTGACGGAACAAATCTTGGAAGCCGCGCCCCTGCTGGAAGCCTTCGGTAACGCGAGGACCACCAGGAATGACAACAGTTCGAGATTCGGCAAGTACCTGGAGGTCTACTTCAAGAACGGCGCCATCATAGGCGCCAAGGTCACTCAGTACTTGCTGGAAAAGTCCAGAATCGTCACCCAGGCCCCGGGGGAAAGGAACTACCACGTGTTTTACGAGCTCCTAGGGGGATTGAATAACACGGAAAGGCAGAAATACGGGCTGGTGGAGCCGGATAAATATTTCTACTTGAACCAAGGTGAGTTTGGGCGAAACTTGATGGAGTATGATGGAATACTTCATCAAGCTTGCTTCTTTTAGGAGGTGGTGATTGTGCACCGGGTCATTCCGGTTCGGGAGCTGACTGGGGAGCCCTTACAAGGGCAATGGAAGTCCTTGGCGTGGGAGAGGCTGAACAAGAAGCTATTATAAAGATATTGGCCTCCGTATTGCACCTGGGGAACGTCTACTTCCACAGGAGGCAGTTAAGGTTTGTCTTTTTCATAATTCCGTATTCACAGAATAAAAATTAAGCTCACTTTCCAAAATCCGCTCATCTTTTTATGGTTACGTTTTAAGACGTAGTTGTTCAGTGTCATTATTGGCTTTAAATAAATTTAGAGTCATTTTTAATCCAACCAAGCCTTCAAAACGATCTTTAAAATCCAGTAGCGATGTCTGTACCAAATTTGGAGCCCCTGTCTAGTAAAAGATGTAAATTTAAAGAAGGAATTTCATCAATACTGATTATGCGCGAATACAAACACACAAGAATCTCAATCCTCTTCCCATGCTCACAAATAAATAATTAATGACGTTCGAAGGCATGGTCAGGAAGGCGTGGAAGTGGGTTCCGACGTGGAAATCAAGTGGGCAGCTCATCTTTTGCAAATATCCACCACTGGGCTGCAAAGGGCCTTGACTTCAAGGATAACAGAAGCTAGAGCTGAACGTGTGCACTCGCCGTTAAGCATAGATCAAGCGTTAGATGCTAGAGATGCCTTCGCCAAGGCCCTGTACTCAGCGCTGTTCAATTGGTAAGACAATTTTATCATATAAGAATCTATGAATCTATTATTTATTGAATTCACAGGTTGGTAACGAGGGTCAACTCGATAGTCCAAAGGGGAGGACTTCACGAAGCCGGGAGGATATCCCTACTGGACATTTTTGGTTTTGAGAACTTCACCGAGAACTCTTTCGAACAGCTCTGCATCAATTTCGCGTCGGAATCGTTACAACTATACTTTAACAAACATGTATTCAAGTTAGGTAAGGTAGAAGAAGCCTTGTATTTGATCCTTACACTAATTAATTGGTTTCTTTTCCAGAACAACAAGAATACGCCAAAGAGAGACTGGAATGGACCCAACTCACCTGGAGTGACAACACCCCAGTCATCCACCTGTTAGGAAAGAAGCCCGTGGGTATCCTCCACCTTCTCGACGACGAGAGCAACTTCCCCAAAGCCTCGGACTCGTCGTTCCTAGAAAAATGCCACTACAACCACGCATTGAACGAGAACTACTGCAGGCCTAGGGTCGGGGGAAGAGAATTTGGAGTAAGTACAAGAATTTAACACTAGAAATGTACTATATTAGTTTTCCTTTTCAGATCCGACATTTCGCCGGTCAGGTCTGGTACTCGGTCGACGGTTTCCTTGACAAGAACAGGGACGCCTTAAGACCGGACGTCGTAGAGCTGATAGCTTCCAGTAAAAACGCCTTGGTGAGCGCCATCGCCAAGCCCCTGTTGCACCATACCCAGACCAGGACCCTGCCCAGGGGCACCAATGGCAGGTTCGTGACCATGAAGCCCAGGACACCCACAGGTATGAAATTCATGGATATTACCACATGGATATGTTGATCGAGGATATATTTCTTTGTAGTCGCCGCGAGATTCAGCGACAGCTTGCACCAACTGTTGGAGTCGATGTCTCGTTGCAATCCGTGGTTTATCAGGTGTGTCAAGCCCAATAACGACAAGGCGCCGATGAGGTTCGACATGCCCGTGGTTATGGAACAATTGAGGTACGCGGGAATGTTGGATACCATCAGGATCAGGCAGTCCGGGTATCCTGTCAGGATGAAGTTCCACCAGTTCGTCGACAGATACAGGTAAGTCCCTGAGGGACCACTTGTGTCGTATACACTTGGCGGGATGTGGATATCGAATTGCAAGATGGTGTATCCCGCAAGGTTCCCTTGCAAGGCCCTTCAGATATTAATAATTTAGCACAAACTGTGTAATAAGGTCTTATAGGATATTTTGGGAGCTTTATGAGATATTTTAAAACTACTAAATTTAACCGGATTTTGCAAACTACTATAAAGTGTATTTTTGTCAAAATACTAGCAAAATTAAAAGACATAACTTGAATAACTGTTTATACATTGCGTTAAAAGTTTGACTTTCATAATGTCAATAGGCCACAGTGTACATCAAAACAAACGAAAAAGCCTTGTATGAAATACAAAACATTTTTTCTAAGTTGATCTACTCATTTTCGATTTTGTGCACATAATACCTTTAAATACCATTAATTTAATACCACTAATTTAATAAAGTTGAGTATTTAATTTAATTAATTAAATTAATTTTTTAATTTTTTTATTTTAATTAATTTAATTTAATTAATTAATTTAATATCATACCAGGATTTTGTTATATCATGCCAGGATTCTTTTTAATACTATACCATATATTTTTAATACCATACCAGGAATTTGTGAACAGAATACCATCATATACACTGTTTACCACTTTTTAAAATTT